TAACTCATACTTAAGAATGTATTTACCATGTTTACTGCTACATAACATGCATGAATATTGTAGGCCACAGTCACAGACATTTTAAACAAAAACAATTTTATTTAACTGAGGAATTTACCAATAGCTATACTACAGGTATTGTGAGGAATTTTCTAATAGTTATGCTACAGGTATTGTGAGGAATTTTCTAATAGCTATACTACAGTTATTGTTAGGAATTTTCTAATGGCTATACTACAGGTATTGTGAATTTAAGAAGATCATGATTCAAGACGACTTACATAATATTTAAACACTAATGAAAGAGTAGGAAATCAAGCTAGGATTTCAGAAACACTTAATAATTAATTGTTGGGATAAAAAAAGTGTACACAAAAGTATACATCTCAATCTGTGGTTTTTAATTTCAAATTCAAAGTCTACTCCAAAAGTCCTAAGAGGTGTTTTCTATTATGTCAATAAGCCACCAAGAGTTACTGCCCTTTTGGATGTCCGCTTTGACTCATCCAAAAAGAACATATTGCAGGGAGCGATATTTTCACCCTTTAAATAGGCAACTGTAAAGGGTCACATGACATGATTAAGCCTATCCTTCACACAGGAAGAGGAAGAAATCAACATCCTATCCATCAATTATATGATCATTCATTTTATGCTCCTTTTATATGGACATGCATGATGTTTGTTTGTTGTTTAACGCCGCACTATATTCCACCTATATGACGGCGGTCTGTAAATAATCAAGTCTGGACCAGACAATCCAGTGATTGACATCATGAGCATCAATCCACACAATTGGGATACGATGACATGCATCAACCAAGTCAGTGAGTCTGACCACCTGATCCCATTAGTCGCCTCTTACGACAAGCATAGTCGCCTTTTATGGCAAGCATGGGTTGCTGAAGACCTATTCTATCATGTATGATACAGATGAACTGCCCTAGCTTATGAACAGTCAAACTAGATCCTTGCAACCATCATTAATAATGCCTTACAAAGATCCATTGATGAAATACACCTCACACATAATGGCGACTGCAGATATGTTATCAAATATGGACATAACTAAGAAAAGCTGCTATGTAAGAATTACACAGCTCTCATGTAAGATGTAAGCCTACCTTTATTTCAAGGTATGAGATTGTCATTTGCAACACTAAATGCTTCAGCAGATCATTTACTGGTGCTAAAATTCAACAAGCTCCAGTTTTTTATCATTTAGTTGACATATAACCAGCAAATTTACACTGCACCATGAATATGTTGACATGAATATGCTAAAACTAGACATGGACACTGTGTGGAGAGTCCAGCGCAATACTTTTTTACGGAAGTCTAATCATAAACTTTTAAAACAAATTCTCTCTTGATCTTGAACTTTGACCTTTTCATAACATGTGCCAAAAGAATTCCCCAGGGCCATTTTGAAAAAAATCCTTTGAAGAATAATATCTTAAGTCTGATTGCCATGTTAATTACAACAAGCATGAAATACTCACATCCCCCGCCAATATGACATGTCGGGTGTGTGCAATGCATTAGCTCCTGTGAACTATGTTCACTGGGCCTTTTTGTAAAGAAATATGGTACGGTTTTCAAGATCTGCTCCGGAAACGAGGACTACTGCCATTTTCAGTCTAAATCAAAGTCGTTGCCATGGAAACGCAAAAATAACTTTTTTAAAAATCCCAAACTATCAAAAGGCACCAGTTCACCACTAGACCTATCTATGTGCCAAGTATGGTGAAGAAATATGGTACGGTTTTCAAGATCTGCTCCAGAAACGAGGACTACTGCCATTTTCAGTCTAAATCAAAGTTGGTGCCATGGAAACTCGAAAAATAACTTTTTTAAAAATCCCAAACTATCAAAAGGCACCAGTTCACCACTAGATCTATCTATGTGCCAAGTATGGTGAAGAAATATGGTACGGTTTTCAAGATCTGCTCCAGAAACGAGGACTACTGCCATTTTCAGTCTAAATCAAAGTTGGTGCCATGGAAACTCGAAAAAATAACTTTTTTAAAAATCCCAAACTATCAAAACGCACCAGTTCACCACTAGATCTATCTATGTGCCAAGTTTGGTGAAGAAATAAGGTATGGTTTTCAAGATCTGCTCCGGAAACGAGGGCTACCTCCATTTTCAGTCTAAATCAAAGTCGGGGCCATGGAAACTCGAAAAATAACTTTTTTTTAAATCCCAAACTATCAAAAGGCACCAGTTCACCACTAGATCTATCTATGTGCCACATTTGGTGAAGAAATATGGTACGATTTTCAAGATCTGCTCCGGAAACGAGGACTACCTCCATTTTCAGTCTAAATCAAGGTCGGTGCCATGGAAACGCAAAAAATAACTTTTTTAAAAATCCCAAACTATCAAAAGGCACCAGTTCACCGCTAGATCTATCTATGTGCCAAGTTTGGTGAAGAAATATGGTACGGTTTTCAAGATCTGCTCCGGAAACGAGGACTACCTCCATTTTCAGTCTAAATCAAAGTTGGTGCCATGGAAACTCGAAAAATAACTTTTTTTTAAATCCCAAACTATCAAAAGGCACCAGTTCACCACTAGATCTATCTATGTGCCAAGTATGGTGAAGAAATATGGTACGGTTTTCAAGATCTGCTCCAGAAACGAGGACTACTGCCATTTTCAGTCTAAATCAAAGTTGGTGCCATGGAAACTCGAAAAAATAACTTTTTTAAAAATCCCAAACTATCAAAACGCACCAGTTCACCACTAGATCTATCTATGTGCCAAGTTTGGTGAAGAAATATGGTACGGTTTTCAAGATCTGCTCCGGAAACGAGGACTACCGCCATTTTCAGTCTAAATCAAAGTCGGTGCCATGGAAACTCGAAAAAATAACTTTTTTTAAAATCCTAAACTATCAAAAGGCACCAGTTCACCACTAGATCTATCTATGTGCCAAGTTTGGTGAAGAAATATGGTATGGTTTTCAAGATCTGCTCCGGAAACGAGGGCTACCTCCATTTTCAGTCTAAATCAAAGTCGGGGCCATGGAAACTCGAAAAAATAACTTTTTTTTAAATCCCAAACTATCAAAAGGCACCAGTTCACCACTAGATCTATCTATGTGCCACATTTGGTGAAGAAATATGGTACGATTTTCAAGATCTGCTCCGGAAACGAGGACTACCTCCATTTTCAGTCTAAATCAAGGTCGGTGCCATGGAAACGCAAAAAATAACTTTTTTAAAAATCCCAAACTATCAAAAGGCACCAGTTCACCGCTAGATCTATCTATGTGCCAAGTTTGGTGAAGAAATATGGTACGGTTTTCAAGATCTGCTCCGGAAACGAGGACTACCTCCATTTTCAGTCTAAATCAAAGTTGTTACCATGGAAACTCGAAAAATAACTTTTTTTAAAATCCCAAACTATCAAAAGGCACCAGTTCACCACTAGATCTATCAATATGCCAAGTTTGGTGAAGAAATATGGTACGGTTTTCAAGATTTGCTCCGGAAACGAGGACTACTGCCATTTTCAGTCTAAATCAAAGTCGTTGCCATGGAAACTAAAAAAATAACTTTTTTTTAAAAATCCCAAACTATCAAAAGGCACCAGTTCACCGCTAGATCTATCTATGTGCCAAGTTTGGTGAAGAAATATGGTACGGTTTTCAAGATCTGCTCCAGAAACGAAATGTGACGGACGGATGGACGGCCGGACGGAAGGACGGAAGGACGGCACCCATTCCTATATCCCCCTTCCACTTCGTGGCGGGGGATAATAACTCACCCTATAACAAGGGGTGCGGCATCAAACTGACCTTAGTAAATACTCAGATGAATGCTTGTTTTTTAGATAAAGTTGTCTTTTATAAGTGAGTGAGATGTTTTACAGTTGTTCATGTGATTAGCAAGAAAACTATGAATGTCTCTTAAGTGTCCAAAAACCCATAACACAGGGCTACAGATAATCCCTATTAGCATGTTGTGAAAAACGTGCAAGCTATTGATAAACTACTGCATGTCTCTCAGAAGTCTTGTGCCATGTTTGGAGCAACTTGTCCTTGAGCTCAACATGTACAGCAGCAGAGAACACATTTCATGTGCATTGCACAAGGGTGTCTCCCACATTGGAAATGACTTACAGTAGGGGAGGTGACTCCATTAACATCATGGAGACAAGAACCTGGTACTAGGACATGTCCCTCAATGAAGTGGAACTTTCTTCTTTGTACAGCAAAGAATACATTATAACAAAGATTAAAACGTGTCATCTTCACAATGTTAAAAAGCTTGTAGTATTGACTGCCTCTGTGGAATACTGGATAGAGCATCTGCCCAGAAAGAAAGTGGAAGGTCAGTAGTTTGATCCCCTGGCCACATCATACGTAAAGAGATAGTACTTGTCACCATGTCTGGCACTCAGCATTAGGGGCTAGCACTATAAAACTGACATAAGTATGGACTACTACCAGCAGCCACGCAACATGTGCATGCATGTCTCTATATAAGTGAAACAAACTCATTAAAATCAGATATTATATTGTAACAATAAACTTCTCTGTGAGAAGCTCTGACAACCACTCCATAGGAAGTTGCATCATGTGTACTTTCTAAAGAGCAACTCAGCATCGAGACTTCTAAACTCTTGGTATGAGCAAACCAAGCATTCAGACAAGCACATCTCATTTCTGTATCTCAAATAATCAAGGAGTTTGGAATACAGAAAGACTAAAGTTTCTGAATAATATGAAGGTAATGTTGCATTCTGTGGAAGTTTCCTTTGCCAAGATCAAAGTTTCCAAATCAAAGCGTTAAAGAAATAGAGCCAAGTCGTTTTAGAAAGCTCAAAATTCACTCAAAATTCACCTATAGATATATATGTTCTGTGGAGGTGCCGTGAGATCTGCGACGTACTGTGGAGGTGTCCTCAGATCTTGACACAGAGGTGTTGTAGAAGTTGAATTCATAAGCAAATACAAGTCTTGAGTACCATGAGGGCTAAGTGGTACCTACCCTGACTGTAGGATCTTCTCGATGTCTCGCAGATCTTTGCGTATAACAGCACGGTGGAGATGTTCTCCTGTAAGTGGCTCCTCTGAAAAAATACCACCAACATGTAGGCCACAAATGCTACTAGCAAGGAGTATATGCTCCACATCATGACAATACACTAGGAACCCTTATCAAGGCACCTGTATAACATAGCATTGAAGTAGTGAAATTCTCAACAGACTTTTTCATATGACAGCAATGTTACTTATAACATAGAGAAACTCTCAATCATCATCAATCAACAGTTCTGAATTGGTGTATTATGCTGTGTTTGGTTTTTAAATACCAACCATATTGTACAATTATACTTTACAAAATGCAAATGTGTGGTTACTACAATATTCAAAGGATTATATTTTGTGCAGAAAACTCAAAAGAACTCTACAAAAGAGATGTATATAAAGTTGCTGCTCCACATGCTTTCTGTGCCTGTCACAGGTTCGACTCAAGGATTATGGTATAACTAACTGCCTGAGCACATACAGCGCCATATTTTGTTTACAGGCTGTTGTTGGTGATTTCGTGATTCAAATCAACAACCCATTTAGAACATTGGAATCAACTCAATATATTTGTTGGAATCAAAGAGTTTGAATATTTATTTCATGGTAGAATGAACATTATGTGTTTTTAATGTAGAGCTAGGTTACCTGTAGATTTAACTGAGCTAAATGTAACATTTGAAACCAAGTCACCAAATCCACTTAGTGACCTTTTAACACAAGCATGAGTTGCTAAGGACCTTTCTTATTCTGGAATTCCAACACGTTGTATAATGCATTATATATAATGTGCTTACAAAGTTTCATCGAGAAATATTGAATGGTTTATGAGTTCAGCTCCACAAAATGAAACCCTCATTTGAACCTAAATCGAACTTGTTATTGTCCTAGAAATTCAAAATTTAAAAATTCAAAATACACCTGAACAGCAAAAGGCACCAGTTCAGCACTTGTGAGCATACAACATTTCACAAAGAAATGAGAAATAGTTTTGGAGTCATGTTCCATTAATTATTCCTTCCCTCATTTGGACCAAGTCCAACTTATTGCCTTGAAAACACACAAAAAAATTATTTTTGTCAACTTCCTGAATAGCAACAGATATAACTTCAGTGTATGCCCAAGTTTCAAGAAGAAATAATGAATGGTTTATGAGTTATGGCCCTGAAATGAAACATGACAGACTGACTTCTATTTAAAAAATCCCACAATCCTGCATTTCAGCGGTGGGGATAAAATGATGACCACTTGATAGGTGTTATGTATTATCACTGGCATGTGATTTAGTTTTAAAATAGAGTCAGTAATCTCTGTCGCTCACATAAATTATTAAGAAATAATTTATTGATGGTTAAAACTTATGGTCACAAACATCTATAGTGAGGTAAAGAAAAAAAGAAACAGTGAAGATCAGTATTAAGAAACTAGATGCCAAATATCTGCTTCATCAGTCAGGCAGTATCAGAAGAGAAGATCTGTATTAAAAACCTACATGCCAAATATCTGCTTTATCATTCAAGCAGTATCAGAAGAGAAGATCTGTATTAAAAACCTACATGCCAAATATCTGCTTTATCAGTCAAGCAGTATCAGAAGAGAAGATCAGTATTAAAAACCTATATGCCAAATATCTGCTTTATCAGTCAAGCAGTATCAGAAGAGAAGATCTGTATTAAAAACCTACATGCCAAATATCTGCTTTATCAGTCAAGGAGTATCAGAAGAGAAGATCAGTATTAAAAACCTACATGCCAAATATCTGCTTCATCAGTTAATCGGTATCAGAAGAGAAGATCAGTATTAAAAACCTATATGCCAAATACCTGCTTTATCATTCAAGCAGTATCAGAATAGAAGATCAGTATTAAAAACCTACATGCCAAATATCTGCTTTATCAGTCAAGCTGTATCAGAAGAGAAGTATCAGAAGAGAAGATCAGTATTAAAAACGTATATGCCAAATACCTGCTTTATCAGTCAAGCAGTATCAGAAGAAAAGATCAGTTTTAAAAACCTATATGCCAAATATCTGCTTTATCAGTCATGCAGTATCAGAAGAAAAGATCAGTATTAAAAACCTACATGCCAAATATCTGTTTCATCAGTCAAGCAGTATCAGAAGAGAAGATCAGTATTAAGGACCTACATGCCAAATACCTGCTTTATCAGTCACACAATTTCAAAAGAGAAGATCAGTATTAAGAACCTACATGTCAAATATTTGCTTCATTAGTCAAGCAGTATCAGAAGAGAAGATAAGTAAAAACCTACATGCAAAATGTCTGTTTCATCAGCCAAGCAGTATCAGAAGAGAAGATCAGTAAGAACCTACATGTATCAGAAGTGAAGATATTTGAAAGCAGACTTGCAAAGTCAGTGTCAGGGTTACTGGGGGTCACAGGGTCATTTTCCTTTTAAGGAGAACCCTCCCTTAAAAGGGCTGTAGATCACTTGCCCTTCCCTTGATGGCTAAAACAGTGGGTATTTTGGTTTAACCAGCCATGACGTAACTGCCAAAATAATCAAACTGGCAAAAAACCTGACCTGTCCATAAAGTGCTTTAACCTGCTTGAACTTGTTTCACTTTATGAAAAGTTGTAGGCTGATGAAACTTGCACCATCCTATTGACAGCCTGTTCTAATGTTGCTCATACCATATCTGTTCGAAGACAAGTTTGGTTTTTACGGCAACCATATGGTTAAACCAATGTTTCGCCATTTTGCTCCCCGAAGTATGCAGATAATGCAAAGGACAACGTGGCTGGCTACTGTGCAATGGTGTCCAAGATACATTTCTTTTCCAAGTTTGCACCTAACTTAATATTGATTGACCACGACAGCATTTACACTTTAGTGACTGGTGAAATTTGTTTACTTTATCTGTAGTTTGTTACTCGCAAAACCTTTTCAGACATTTTGGATTTATAAAAGATATTAACTATTGAAAATGCTGCCTTCTTTCTTCTAATGAAGTAAGATTTGTTTCCTTATAAAGTTTACCATGACTAGTTCCACGAACAGCCCCACAAATAGTTCTGAGTGCATCTAGATTCAGTTTTTCAAGTAGTAACACCTGTTCTGTGCAGTTGTCCCAAATGTGGCAACAATAGTCAAATATCAGTAATATGAAAGATTTATACATAATTTCCAGTGTTTTCCTATTTAAGCGATACTTAAAGCTCCTGAGACAGTGAATCGTTGGACTGACTTTCTTAATTAAGCTATGCATAATATCATTCACAGTTTAGTATGAAAGTCTGAAATGAAAATATATACCATGTGTATTTGAAAGAACTCTATATAACTATTCAAAATATGCTAAAGATCATGGACATATTTTGTTTGAGTTGGACTAATTTGTAAGTCATGTAAAATATGACGTTTTGGGTAGGGATCCCAATACCAGTCATACATCCCACTGAGTTGAAGTCATATATCTCAATCGATGACATTGTTTCAACATTGTTGTGCCTGCTGGAAAGCAGATCAAAATGCAAAGAGAAAACATATTTAAAGTTGGCTTTTGGAAATAGGATAGAAGTTTTGATTTCTTTCAATTCCTATTCCAAGCAGTCAGGCGTACATTACAAGATGAAGTGGTCAAGGTGTATTACTTGTGGTGGACACTGCAGTGTGAGCACTCCATTCACTGGTGTCCTCGTCGTGCTGGAAGCGGATACGGTAGGTGTAGGTGGTCTGGGCATCAAGGCCTGTCACTGTGTGTCTCTTGGCATAACCTCTGCAACACACAAGCAGGCAATATGTATTAATACACATCCTTTAATGTTATTCCAGTAATATCTAGATATTTCTTATATACCGGGTATGTATACTTATCCTGTGTTACTCTTTAATGCATTCACTGCTTGCTCTTGACAGACAGAAGAGCTGTGAGAGGTCTTGCTGAAGAAGAAGTTGTTCAAACTGCTTGTGTGGCTAATCCCATCACACAGCTCCCACGTGACCATAGATGTGATGACGTCACATATCATCACATTGCTGCTAGATCATAACATCTTGAGACATCTTGGGGAGGCAGCTCTGTGACGGTTGGGCCATTTCAGACAAAGTAATGCAGCATAAAAATACAAATATGAAAAATATGTAGATCTTATGAGATTTTTGAACTTATCGTGCATTACTCTTTAATGCATCTGGACAGGAGGAGCTTCGTAATGGCGACAAGGATTGGTGACCTGTTGGTCTATGACCAGTGGGCCAAAACTATTAACACCTTCGACATCTCCCAAGGCCACTATCCTCAGGTAGTGGCCTGTGAAGACAGTGTCAGAACCTCCAAAAGCATCCTTCCATGATGGTTGTACTAGAGCCATTGCTGTACAGAGCCATCGTAGAGGCAACCGCCCAGATCACATGAGGATTGCTAGCTCTCAATGTATCAAGGTTGGCGATCTCATAGGCCTGAAGGATGACGGTATTCAACAATAATGATATAGTGTGGCAGCTGATCTGTTAGGGAGGTGGGAATATGGGAGGCATGTCAAAGCACCATGCAGAGTCTTGGAGCTACAGATGTATACTTACAGTGTGTGCACAGGGCACAATAGAAGTTCCTTGTTGTCTTTGGTTCCCACAGTAGATGATAAAGTTGTGATGGAGAAGGACTGGTCGGGTTGTCCTGGGAGTTGATTCTTGGCAATTAAATCCGAGCGCAGCCAAGTGTGAACAGCTCCGTGCGTACCATGCTCAAAGCGAACGCAGGTAATGTAGAGAGCATGAAGCTCACTAACCCATGCTGCCTTGGCCAATGCCAATAAGATTATTGTCTTCTTGGTGAGGTAATAAAACAATGTAGCATGAAGGTTTGACCGGGAGAGCACACAAACACTGAAGGATGACATTCAAACCCCATACGGGAGAATGAAACTTCGCCTTCTGATTTTAAGTCGCAATGATCATCATAGCGCCTGTAGTTCCAGGATCTTGGTTATTATTTTAGATTCCGAAACTGCCAACACTGAAATGAGAGCCACCAAAATGGGTAGTAATGGTGCTGCCTTTCAGGTGTCGCTTGGTATGCAGATAAGGGAGGTATTCAGCCAAGAATTGAGGCGACGCAGTAGGTGGCTCCTGATCCTTTCCTTTACACAGGATCCATAGGAACGCCATCTATCATCAAAATGGTCTTGGGTTGAAGGACAATGTGTCATAACAATGGCCTTAACTGCCCCTGCTGAATAGCCTCTTGCACCCAGAGCTCTCTTAAGATAAGTCAGGTGTGCAGATGAAACCTGCTTGCCATTGGATGTGGAAACCTGCTGTGCAGACCACCCCAGTAGAGGTAGAAGATGGCTTCCTGTAAGACGGCTCTTGGTTGCCCTGATCTTCTGCATCACCCTGGAAAGAAGTACTGGTGGCAGAGAACCATACACTCTTAGCCCTTCCTACGGGATGCTGAATGTGTCAACTGCCCAAATCGGGATCGGGAAGACAAAAGGTGCGATTTGGTAGTTCTGGCAAGTGGCAACAAGGGCAATGTTGGGATGACCTAGGCGCTGACACACAAGATGAAAACCTCAGGAGGAAGCTTCCATTACGAGGGAGCTACCCTGTCTGGCCTGGATTGTCTGCCAGAACGTTCTGACATCCTGGAATCTGCTGGAACAGAACATGTATGCCTAGCTGATCTACCAGCTGCAAGAACTGGAACGTCTGTTGAAGGAGGGAGTGAGAGTGTGTGGTCCCCTGATGGCGCAGACACCAGACCACTGTGAGGTAGTTGGTGGAATCGGTGAGTTGAGTGTAACAGAAGGCTCTCCTGCCAGTGTGATATCTCCTGAGTGCCTTCAACTCCAAGTTGATAATGTGCCAAGTGTGCCGGTCCACAGCCCTGAGGTTGTCTGGTCCTCTAGATGCACACCTCAACCTGTAGGGGTGTCTACGGACAGGTGGGATATGCCAAGGTCCTGACCTATTATATTAGGCACCATGAACTTTTTGATTGCATGCAAGTGTAGTCGACCTCAGCTCAACACATCCTTGGCTGACGAAGGCAATTTCAGGAGCACTTGCTATAGGCCATGGGCTACTTAGGTCCACCGTGCATCCCCCCCCCCCCCCTCCCACCAGAATAACTTCAGCTTTATTTTGATATATTACACATGGTAATTGGACAATTTTAAAGACATTCATTGACCTTTTTGTTGCAGTACAAAAATGACGCTGACGTGGAATGCAAAATCGTGATTTTGAGGGTACCTCCACAAATATGATGAAAACAGGAAGTGCATCCCTATATTTTCAATGTTAACATATGATTTCATGTTCAGACAACTCTAAGGCTTCAGGAAAAGTTAGTTTTGTTGGGAGGTGGGGGGGGGTGCACAGTGGACCTAAGTAGCCAATGGCCTACTACTGACAAAGTGTAAGTGGCTGTTAGAGAACGGGTAGCAGAAGTTAGATTAGGCTGTCTACAAAAGTGTAAAGTTGAAAAGTCAACTTCAGGAGGGTTTCTGAACGTATCGTGCCTTGTCAATATGTGGAAAAGTGTGTTCGTCAGCAAACCAGTGCTTAATCCCATGTAGACGAAATAAATCAGCTCCTCAGCTGATCTCTGAAGCATCAACGTAACAGACGGTGGTAAGTCGAAGCTGTACCCAGCAGACAAGGCTTAATATATGTAAAGCTTTGATCTGAAAGATCATACTGTACAATGTAAGGTGATCAATTCCATCCCCAGGGTGGCGTAAAAGCACTCCTGTTCTTATATCGAGGTGACGACGAAAGGAGTTGCCTCGTTACTCTGCATGTAGTCATCGAAGTTCGACATAACGGTCATGGGAAGAATTACAGAATCGACGCTGTATCTAATAGATAATGCTGAATATATAAAATAAAATCTGAAAGAATTTACCATATGAAGTAAGGTGATCGTTTCCATCCCCTGGGCTTCATATAAGCGCTCCCGTTCTTATGTTGAGGTGACAATGAAGCATTTTGCCTTGTTACTGCACGGCATCAAAGGTGTCGGCATCAAAGGTCTTCTGAAGTTAGTGACTCAGTCAAATTGATGTACAGCATCAGCATCTGGTGGTTGCAGTATTACATAAAAGTAAGCATGCAAACTAATCTGTACAAATACACTGCATGGCTCCTATTAGGTCAGTTGACCTAATTCAGGTTGGGGATCTTTACAGTCAGAGAGTTCTTGACATGTGACATGTAAATCACCATGCGCAGTAATCTGGAATCCTGCATATTGTCGGAGACGAGGTTCAAGCTCCACACTCAGACAATCCTCTGTGAACTGTGTTGTTGACAGACAACTGGTGTTTCCCAGGTCTGTGTAGAATGTGTGACATGGCCGGTGGAGGGGCATGTTTATCACCATGATAAGTGTGACGTTTGGTCCTGTCTTGTGAACTAGGATCCCGAGGTGGGTACCCAGTAGCATATGACGATTCTGTAAAATGTTGGTGCAGCTCATGTCTATGAGAAGCCACATGAAAGAAATTCTATGAGAGTACTATTGCCCTCTCCATGGAATCGTTCAGCCAACGTTGAACGGATTAGGAGAATTGGGGGGAACTTTCACAGAACCTTCACTATGAGCCCAAGGTGCTGCCAAGGGATTGAGGAAAACGTTGGACCTCCCTTGTATGATCTCATGAGGGTTGTTGGCCCTAGGGGGGATCCAATCTGACGGTCTCATAAGCCAATAGAATAAGAGAATGTAACCGTGAGGAGATTGTGTTACGTCTAACTTCTGTCTGCGAGGTCATCCCAGTTGTGTGCTACATCCCCCACCTCCAAAGCATAGATGATGAAATCGTCCTTCCTCAACTGAGGAACGATACAGATAATATCACAAATTCAGTGTCCACTGCTGAGACCAGATCCTTCAGCACCGAGTCCGGCGTAATAGGGTTAGGCTTGGATCAATAGTGTCTTGTTTATCCATGCCCGGGTTGGCATCTGCTGGAACATGAACTGCATCAACTGCAACCAGATGTAGGGAGCCTGCAGGGGCCGTTGAGGTGCCAGTTGGAAGGGAGGAGTCCAAATCCTTGATGTGCTGAGTGTGCCTCGGCCATGTAGCTGCTCAGGAGGGCTGGCTCCGGCGCTGATGACAGGTTGTAAGCTCGTGGGAGGGACGATCTCTGGGTCATTGGGTGGCTCCAGCACCGAGGTGGTCATAGACGTGTAGAGAGATGTAGTCGTCACTCTGGTCATCAGCGTCGAGTGCTGTTGTCTCTGGAGTAGACACCGACATCTGTATGAGGGGAGGTGTTTGCCTGTCAACATAGGTAGAAGAAATACAGGGGAGGCTGGTCTTACAGGAGTACACGCTGGTAGGGGCTTCCAGCCAGAAGAACTTGGAGAAGCTGTGGCTAGTGGAGATGTAGCAGTCCCAGAGGAGTAAGACATCTTCCTTTTAGCTTGTCTACAAGCTTGCTGCAAGCAGCGCTTCCGAGAGACCCTCAGGTACTTGGAGAAGGCTGTGGGAGAGAAGCTACATTTGAAGTTGTCGAACAAATATGGGAGCCGTCCACACACAAAGTGTGGGGGTTCCAGCCAGACTTCTTACCGTGGCCCTAAGTACAACGGGACATAAATCTGCAATGAAGCAGAAAGTGTAATCACAATGCGTTCGAACCATGATTGTGTGTGTATGTAATATTTCAAATCACAGAACACAATGGTGAAGGGATAAGATTACGCAAAGAAAGGAGAATACAACACTTTAATAACCATAGGGAAGTAAAGGTACAACAATGT